TCCCCACTGAGATCTAGTCCCGCTCCGCCCGGCTGGGAGCCACGCCAGGGCCTGTCTGGTCCCCGCCTGGGGCCTGCAGACCTCGCCCAAGGTCCTGGAACCCGGCTGACCGGTCTGGGCGCTTCCTCTGGGCGGGTCTAGACCTGTGGCCCGGCCCTTTCCCAGCAAAGGCTGACCTGGAGCTTCGGATGCCTTGGGTTCTGCACTGCCGGGCAGGGGAGAAGGAGATCCCAGGATGGGGACGTGACTAAATCTGTAGCCTTTCCATCTCAAAAAAAAAGTACATTGAAAGGACAGATCAAGCCGGGCACCGGTGGCTCATGTCTGCAATCTTAGCTACTCAGGTGACAGACATCAGGAGGATCACGGTTCGAAGCCAGCCTGGGCAAATAAATAGTTCGTGAGACCCTATCTCAAAAAAACCCATCACAAAAAAGGGCTGGTGGAGGCCCTGAGTTCAAAATCCAGTACCGAAAAAGAAATCAATTAACACCTGCTAGATTCAGGCCTTCTGGAGGTCACAGGCTAGGACATAAACCCAGAAACAAACATAAAACAGCAGTTGTGATCATTATTACCAAAAATTATTTTAAAAAGTTATTAATCTGAGTGTCAATAAATATAGAGGTCTTGAACTCAAAATGGGATGGGGACAGACAGGGATCACTTCCCAAATGACTTGCTTTTTGAGCTGAGCTGGCTTACCCAGGTGAACAGGGAAGGGGAAAGCAGTTGAGGAGGTCATAGCAAATGCACAGGCCCTGTGGCCTCAAAGACTGGAAGTCTAGCAATAAAAAGCAGGTCAAAGACTGCTTGAGATGAGGCCAGCCAGAAGTCTGATGTACATCATAGAATTTTCTTTTCTTTTTTTTTTCTCCTCCCTGCCCCATGAACTCAGGGTCTTCCGTATTCACCATGTGACTAGATTCAGTGTCAATGAACTGATTTTGAATTAATCTCTCAGAATTTTCCTATTTTAGCTTGTAGTCCACAACCCATGGATAGCCTTCCAGTCTTCCCTTGGAAATAATGTGTCTTTTTATTTTTTAATTTTATTTATTCATTTCTTTATTTTTTGCTGGGACTGGGGCTTGAACTCAGGGACTTCACCTTGAGCTACTCCACCAGCCCTATATTTGTGAAGGGTTTTTTCGAGGTAGGGTCTTGCAAACTATTTCCCTGGGCTGGCTTCGAACCGTGATCCTTCTGATCTCTGCCTCCTGAGTAGCTAGGATTACAGGCGTGAGCCACCGGCACCCAGCAAACTCAGGGCTTTGAGCTTGCAAAGAAGGCACTCTACCACTTGAGCCACACCTCCAGTCCATTTTGCTCTGGTTATTTTGAGATTGGGGTCTCTTGAACTGTATGCCCAAGGCTGGCCTCAAACCTAGATCCTCCCAATCTCATCCTCCAAAGTAGTTAGGATTGTAGGTATGAGCCACTGGCGCTTGGCTTTTTTTTTTTTTGTTATTTTGAGACAGGGTCTCAGCTCAGGAACCCAGAATTCCTGATCCTCCTGCCTCAGCCTCCAGCGTGCTGGGATTAGGAGGCATGTGGTCACCATGCGCAGTTTAATAAGTGTTTTAAACACTTGCTATTCTCTCTTTGTAACAAGGAAAGCTGTCTGGAGCCTCACACTGGCTACTGTTTCAGTGAGATCTGAAGACACTGTTTCATTTTATCCTCACTCTTTGTAATTGTTATTGTCTTAAGGATGGAGAGTGATGAGCAAGTAGGCTAAGACAAACACAAATATTAGACAAAGAATCAGTATGTAGATGTAACAAAAATCCTGACCCTCAACCCCTGAATGCTCCGGAAATTTTATTCAAAGAGTCTTTGGGAGCCCATCTATAAAATGACGATAGATATTAAGCGTTTAGGGGCTGGGGGTGTAGCTCAGTGCTAGAATGCTTGCTTAGCCTTTGAGGTCCCCAAAAACAAATAAACATTAAGTACTTCGCATCTGTCTCCCCAAAAATCTCACTCACTCATTCAGGCCTAGGTCGGGCGCTACTGGAAATATTTGAATGGGGGTGCTAAAATATTATATATATTATATACATATATATACATTATACAGAATGCATTTCAGATATGAAATAAATGTATATAATATAAATATTATATATATAGATATATAAAATTTTCGGAAGTCAGGCAGCGTTTTAAAGAAAGCTGAGTGAGATGAGGGAACGCAGTATTGGCGAGGGGAGGTGGGGATTAGGGTGGCTGAAGTGACCAGGAAGCCTTTCCAAGGAGGCAACATTTTAGTCAAATCTGATGAAAGTGAGAATGGACTTGTGGATCTCTGGGGAGGAGGGGATATTACCAACAGGAGGAACATCAAGTGCAAAGGCCCTGGGGCTGGACCACACTTGGGGAATTCTCCACACAGAGAGGAGGCCAGTGTGGATGGGACAAAGGGCAACTGGCTAAGAGAGGGATGAGAGATCAAGTGGGCAGCTGGACCGTTATTTATTATTATTATTATTATTATTTGCAGTGCTGGGAATGAATTCTGGGGCCCATATGGCAAGTGCTCTACCACTAAGCTACTCTCCTTGCCCTCACTGAATCCTTTGTTGTTCTTTCTCCATACTCCCCCCCTCCTTTGGCAGTTCTGGAGTTTGAATTCAGGGCCTCACACTTACCAGGCAGGCGCTCTACCACTTGAGCCACTCTACCAGCCCTGTTTTGTGTTGGGAATTTTCAAGATAGGGTCTCATAAACTGAACTTTGCCTGGGCTGGCCTCCAACCATGATCCTCCTGATCCCTGCCTCCTGAATAGCTAGGATTATAGGCATGAACCACTAGTGCCTGGATTGTTGTTGTTTCTTGAGACAGGGTCTCCCTATAAAGCCCAGGCTGACCTCAGATTCGTGATCCTCCTGTCTCAACTTTCAGAGTGCTGGGATTACAGGCATAGTGGCCTATGCCTGACTCAAAATAGGTTGCATTTAGTTGTGGTGCTGAAGACAGAACCCAAAATCCTTCTACATGCTAGGGAAGCACTGTACCACTGAGGTAAGTCCCCAGCCCTTTCTCTTAATTCTTTCTGTGAACCTAAGACCCAGGAAGTATTATCGTCTCTGGAGCCCAGAGAGGTAAAGTAGCTTGCTCAGAGTTGCACATCAAGCTGTGTGTGCTCCCTAGTCCACACCTGCTGCAGCTGGCCTTCATCACTGTGCATCATGGTTCTGAGTTATTTGAATGTCCTGTGTGTAGCTGTCTAGCTCAACCCTTTTATCCTCTGGGTAGTGGCCAAGGAAGGGTCCAGGCTGGATTAGATCAGTCACTTAGTTTTTTTCCCATTTGTGCAGACTTCAGAGCACAGGGTAGGACCCACCATTTTGGAGATGCCTTTTGCAGGCCTAATGCTCCCTGAGGAATCTGCTGGTCCCAGGCTATGTGACATTTGTAGTTTTCCCAGACAGCTTGTTCCAGCCAATGTTGTGGAATGGATTCCCTGAAGTCATTTCTTGTGTCAGGTTCTCAGTGTAAGTTATTGTGATGAGCAAAAGGTGTCTTGGGGTGGGGGATTCCTCTTAAGGGCATGCGTGTGTCCAGGCCTGCTTGCCTCTCATCATCTCCAGTCCCCAAACCCCCAAGTGGCCTGGTGCCGGAAACCCCCAGGCGGGCCGGGCGGTGGCTGGGGTCGGCCCAGTGGCTTCCCGCGGAAGGAAGTGCCCGTCGGTTCCTTCGACAGGATGCGCGGTGAGGCCCCCTCCCCAGCCGCAGGGACTTCCCGGGGCCCATCCAGGCTCGTGGGGGTGTGGGGCGCCTGTCCCCCCACGTCCTCTAGGGCAGTGGTGGGTAGGGACTAGAGAAGGTGGCGCTATGAATCCCCCACACTTTCCGGGAGGCTGAGGGGGAGGCGAGCCTGGGTAGCTCCTGTGGGGTGCGGTGCGCTCCCCTCACTTCCCACGCTGGGGGGAGGGGCCCAGAAAGCTCCAGGCGACGTCTGGGGCGGGCTCACCCCGCCGCCATCGTCCCCTCCTCCTCCTGCCCTGTCGTGCCGAGGTCAGGTCCCCTGGGGTCCTGGGAGGCCCGTGGTGGCTGAGCCAGCCGTCGTGAGGCGGGGCTGGCGCGTCCCTGGCGCCTCCAGCCGCCCCGACTCCCCGCACCTGCGACTCCTTTGTCCTTCCCAGCGCACGCCCGCCTGTCCCCTCCCCTCGCCCCCGGGGCCAGGCTTACAGTCAGGGTCCTAAAACCCAAGTGAGAGAATCGCAGTTTTCTCCCTCGGGCTAACTAACGTGCCGCTGGGACTGGGAATGGCACTAGGGCTGACAACGACATCTTGAACCCGGAAAGTGGGACCGGGGGAACACGGTTTTAGAAGCCCACTTCACGGATGAGGAAACTGAGGCTGGGAAGTCATTCACCTTCCAGCCTGAGCCACACCTAGGTCTAGGGCAGAATATGCGCCCCCAAAAGCTCATGCTCTCAGCCCCACCCCAAGCCTGGAGTCCCCGCAGGGAGGGCTCGGTAGATCACGTCTTGCAAGAGCAAGGTTGCTTAGGTTTAGTCCCCAACTCCGCTTGAGGCACCGTTCCCCTCCGCTCTCCCCAGTACCTGACCTGGGAGTGCCCTCCTTCCCCGTCCGCCCCCAGAGTTGTAGGGAAACTCCGAGGGAACCCCCATATCTGGGGGTGTTAACGGGGGGGAGGGGAGCGCGCCAACAGCTCGGGAGTTTGGAGCACATAAAAGGCGACCCAGGCTCCTCCCGCCCACGTGGTGACCCGTCAGACCGGTTCCTGGGGCCGAAGCGGGTCGCCGCCAGCTCCTGACCCCTTAATCCTGTCCCTCCCCCGCCAGGGAAGCAGAGCAGACAGGCAGCAGCATTTTACCCAAATGGTCTTTATTTTCCTAGCTGACATTTCTAACAAAACGCCAGGTATAGCTGGAGTTAAAACAGAAGCCACCACGGGAAGGGCGACAGACCCGACCGACGCGCTGGCAAGAACTTCCTCCTCCCTCCCTCCCTCCCCATCCTGGCCGGTCCCGCCAGCCCGGCTCCTCGCCCGGCCGCTAGGCACGTCCCCTCCCCCACGCTCCCTTCCGGCCTTCGCCCCAGGCCTTCAGTCTGGGTGGATCGAGTCCGTGTGTCTTAGAGAGGGTCACGCCGGCGACTGGGAACAGACTCGCCACCTCTTCACGCACCAGATGAGAAAAATCCGATCTGCAGTCAGTTCAGCTCCCACCCCAGGGCTCAGAGGGCGCGGGGGCGCTCCCCTAGCAGCAGCCCGCGGGGGCGGAGTGACTCAAGTCACTTCCCGGTCCCCAGGGCGGGTCCGCACCCCAGGCCCTCCTCCTCCCAGGCCCCACACCCACGCAAGGCAACAGGAAGCTCGGCACGTCTGCCCCATGACGCAACGATGACCGCTTGCACAAGTATGTCACTGGAGGGGGACAGGGAGTGCCTGGAATTCTCGGAGGTTGGAGACGCACACACCACTATTAAAAAAAAAAAAACCTTGAAAGGGCAGCTCGGCCCGTGGTAAAAAATGAAGTCCGACCCTGAGCAGATGAAAGAGCTGAGTCTCCCTTCTCCGATCCGGGAGAGGGAAAGGTCCACGTCCCAGTCTACGAACACAGCACCTGTAGGCGCCGCAGGTCTCGGCGGAAGGCGCCCGCGCCCCCGGCTCCTGGGTGCCACCGCCGCGCACAGATGGCGACGGCTGCCCGGGGGGCAGAGTCCCTCTCCGGGCTTCTCAGCAGCCCGGGCGGCGACTCTTCACGGTTCCCGCGGGGATCCCCCCCAGAGGGGGCCTCGCCTCGGGTCTGCGCACTCGGGCCGACGGTTCGACGCGCGCTCTGGGCTCCGAAAGCGCCGCTCTGTGTCCTCAGAAGGCCACCACGGCCCGTACCAGCACGTTCAGCATGCTGTCCGCCGGGCGACAGGCCGGCTTGGCCTCACACGCGGGCGGCGCCGTCGGAGGGGCGGGGGGGCTGCAGTTCAGGAGGCCGGAGAAGCGCCTCTGGAGGACGCGGGCCAGGTTGGGGAAGGCGCCCTCGGCTTGCGAGGGAGGGGGCTGCAGGCGATCGGGGATGTCCGACGACGCTGCCTTGTCTTCCTCCTCTTCTTCCAGGCGGGCTTTCTTGCTCGGGACCAGTCCCGCGTCCCTGCCGTCGCTCAGGCTGCTGCTCCGCCGCTTGCGGCTGACTTTGGCGGGGCGCGGGGCGCTGAGGGCCCGGCTCTCCTCGGTTCCTGGCGCCTCCTCCTGCGTGTCCATGGGCTCTGGAGAAGGCTGCTCACCGTCGGGGGGCGCTGCTTCGGTGGCAGCTTCCACTTCCCGCGGTGGGTGCAGGCGAGGATCAGGGGACCGCGCGGGAGGCAAGAACAGCTCGGGCTCGTGGGCCTCCACCTTGGCCGAGAGGTAGAGCTCCCGGGCGCTGCGCATGACCAGCGACAGCTGGAGACTCCGATGCAGGCGCAGGCCACCACGCTGCATGCGCGAGTGGTACATCTTCCACACGGACAGGGTCATGATGCGCTGTGCCTCCTTCTGCACTTCCATGGCTGATGGACGGTGAGGACAGCGGGGACTCCCGGGACAGATAGGGCAGGTAGCAGGTGCACTCCAGACAATACACCAACCCACGCAGTAGAACTCCTAGGACACTCTGCCCCGGCGCCGGCCACCGGAGCCCTTTTATACTGTCAGTGGCGTCACGGAGACGCCCCGCCCAATCAGAGGGCCGCATCCGGGCTTTCCACTGCACAGTGGCCAGAGACTCCTTAAAGTGACAGGGTGGAATTTATCCAGCGGGAAAAAGAAACGGAAATCTGGACAAGGAGTGTTCCCCACCATGACACATTTGAGGTCTCAGAGTGTCGCCTTTCTTAAAGCCTGGATGACGCACCCACACACAGGCCCAGGGGAGAGGGGTCGCAGGTGGGGCTCAGAGACCACCCACGTGCTTACGTCGGGAAGCCAGTGGGTCGTGGGCAGCAAGTTTCCCTTTGCAATGGGGAAGACCCCGGTTCGAGTCGGTACATCCTTGCGTGGGCACTGTTCCTAGAATCTCAACAGTCGTCTAATTAAGGCTTTCTGGATCCTTAACAATGCTGACATTTATTAAGCACTTACTACATGCTAGACGCTGTTAAACGTTCTCCTTGTATGTAATATCCGATTCTTCTCCACCACTCTGCAGAACATACAGGTACGTCTACTTTCTTCTGATGGGAAAACCAAGGCAATCACTCGCCCAACATTTGCTGAACGAAAGAATGGGCTCCTGCGGCGAAAGAGGGCGACCGGGACTCTAGCTCATCGGTCTCCAGTGTATGCCAGCCCTCCTCGTTCTCGTTTGTCGGTGGTGAGGAGGCGCTCAACTCGGGATGGCTCCGAAGGGAGCAGCGGATATCCGCAGACTTGGGAGCACACACCGGGAATGCCATCCCCCGGTTTTCTGAGAAACCGCCACAGGTTCGGTTCTCCCAAGGCAGAGGACCTAGTGACAAGACGGTCCCAGGAAACACGTGGCGCCTACCCTCACCACCACCACGACTGCTCCTCCTCCAAGCCCCGGGAGGCGGGGTTGGAGTGGGAGATGGAAAATGAGCCATGAAGAAAAAGAGCAGAGAAAACATCGGTCCCATCTTCCGCCACGCGCTATCGCTCAAAAAAATCTTAATTCCAGTTGTGGGGGAAAAAATGCAAAATTGTTCCAAAAGCTCCATTCATTCCTGGTGAGGCCGCTTTAAGGGAGGCCCTCCCCCACTAGCGCGGAGCCTTCCCGCCACAGGAGTCCGCTGACTTCCACTGCTAAATTTGGAAGTAGTGACGTACCGCAGGCGCGCTACTTGCTTCCGGTTGCCCATATAAGGACAGGGGGCCGTGATGGCCATAGCGGGCGGCGCAGGCTTCCGGAGGCGGAGCCTCGCCTCCGGACACGCCCCTTGCCCGCCTCTCCTTGCTTCCTAAGCCGGCTGGAGCCTGTGGCTTCCGGACGCGCGTCCAAGCCGGGCGGGTGGCGGGAGAGGGAGGTTTCGCTTCCTTCCCTCCGGGGGCCAAGAAAGTGTGACTCCCCTTCGGGAAAGCACTCCGCCCGCGGCTCAAGCCCATCTCAAGACTCACACTGGCGCAGACTCCCAGAGACCCACTGAATGACCTGGCCAGCGAGAGAGGTGACCCGCTGAGGATCCTCCAGCCCTTCCCCTCCCCGTGGGCACCCCAGTTACTCCCCGTATAAGGCATGGAAATTCAATTATTCCCCGCTAAAAGGCCGCTCCCCAAACTGTTATTCACTGATCCTGCCACATACTGCGGTGACCTGCTGGGAACGACCCCTCCCAGTCCCGTTAACCGCAACAGACTCCACAATGACATCCTCAGCCCAAGTGCTATCTCAGGGACTCCACACAGTGACTCTTGACACCTAGCGACAACTCCCCCGAGGACTCCCACAGATATCCTGTCCCCCACCTCCCTAGGGGAGACCAGGCACCCACTCAGGCGATGGCTTCCTTCCACCCACCCCCAAAAGCGTGCTTTGCCCTGGACGGAGATCCCAGACACAGTGGATGTCCCTGAAGGCCACCTTAGGGCTACCCCCCCCTTCCCGGATCTCCCCTGGATCTCCAGGCTCGCATCCAAACCGCGCTTACAGAGAATCGGGTGTACTGAACCCACCTGCACACGATGACCCTCCCACGCTTCGCCGGCCCTGCATCCCCGCCCACAGCCCCCCGCCCCATAGCGACCTCGAGGCACCTTCGCCCCACCTTGCAGGAAAGAGGGGAGATTCCAGCACAACTCCCTGTAGAATGCCCTCCCCACACGGGGAGGAAGGGAGGGCCAGCTCTCCACCCTTCCCTCCCCCAGGCTCTTCTATAAACCTGCCACCTGGGACCCTGGGCTGGGACGATCTCCCAAGACAGGACAGTGCCAGCTCGGTGAGTCCGTTCAAAGCTTCTATTAATTCAGTGAGCCACTTCCCCATAATCATAACCTCGTGTGAGTTACAGGATGTCATTATTATTTACTGCATTGTCCAGAAGAGAAACTGAGGTAGCGCAGCAACAGTACTAGGGGATAGGGAGCTGAACCCTATCAAAGCCAACTAGAACACTGCCCCGGACCGCGGAGTACGCGGAGTAGGGGCGGCGCATGCGCACCGGAAGCCGCCTCTGCCCATAACCAAGATGGCTGCGAAGAGGGCGGAAGTTCCCGCACTTCGGGCCTCTCTTTCTCCCTTGGAGGCCGGCTCTCTATGGTGGCGTGGCGGGGGCGGGGGGGGCGGCGTGTTCTCCCCGCTTGAAGGGACGGGGCTAGCAGGCGCAAGCCAGGAAGGGGTTCGGCCTGGGGGTGGGGGGCAGGGGGTTGACATGTCTCTCGAAGACCCTTTTTTTGTAGTCCGAGGGTGAGTGACAGTGCGGGGGTTGGGTGGAATGTGATCAGTACCCCTTGCCAGCCAGGCCAGGGCGTGCCAGGCGGTATGGGCACAGCCGTCGGGGTGGAGGAGGGGGAGGGCTCCTGGGCTGGGTGGGCCATCTGCCCCCTGCTGTGTCCCCTCCCGCAGCGAGGTGCAGAAAGCGGTGAACACGGCCCGCGGGCTGCACCAGCGTTGGCGCGAGCTCCTGCACGAGGACGCGGCGGCCGGGCGCGAGGAGCTGGACTGGACGACCAACGAGCTGCGGAACGGGCTGCGCAGCGTTGAGTGGGACCTGGAGGACCTGGAAGAGACCATCGATATCCTGGGCCTATGCGCAGGGGGGCAGCATGGGAGAGCCCATTGCGGTGGCTTGGCGCGGGGCGGGGGACGCTGAGAGCTAGCCCATAAGGAAGTATGGGGGGTTGGAGGAATGAAGGTGCAGGGGTTCGGGTGGGTGGCTCTGGCCTCCCCCCTTGACTCTCAGTCCACGCATAGTGGAAGCCAACCCAAGCAAGTTCAACCTCCCAGCCGGGGACCTGCAGGAGAGAAAGGTGTTCGTGGAGCGCATGCGGGAGGCTGTGCAGGTGAGGAGAGGTCCAGGTGGGGTGAGGGTGGGGAGGCCAGGGTGTCTGTACTCTAATGCTGTCCCCACCTCCAGGAGATGAAGGATCACATGGTCAGCCCAGCAGCGGTGGCCTTCATGGAGAGGAATAGCAGAGAGGTAATCCATGCAGATTTATCCACCCCCAAGTCTGTTGGGGTGACTCACTTGAAAGCCAGCCTGCCCCATCTGCACCGAAGCCGGTTCTCTGGGTGCAGTTGCTCTCTGGCTGTCTGCCTGCCTGCTCTTCCTGGATGTGTGCGCCTAAACCCTCTGTAGCCCCGCTTCCACCGTCTCAAATTCAACCCAGCAAGACATTTGGAAGAGAAAAATTTGTCTGGCTGGGTGTGGGTGACTCACGCCTGTAATCCTAGCTACTTAGGATGCACAGATGGGGAGGATCGAGGTTTGAGACTAGCCCGGGCAAATTTTGAGAGATCCTATCTGCAAAATAACCAGAGCAAAATGTATTGGAGGCATGGCCAAGATGTAGAGCACCTACTTTGCCCTGAGTTCAAATCCCAGTCCCATTTTAAAAAAAAAGGCCAGGTGCGGTGATTCAAGCTTGTAATCTTAGCTATTTGGGAATTGGAGATGGTTAGAGACCAGTCTGGGCAAAAATTCTAAGAGACCCCATCTCAATTAATGGCTGGGTATCGATTGAACCATTCCTGTCATCCCATCTACACGGGGATGGAAGGCAAGCACAAATAGGAGGATGGTGGTCCAGAAGGGCCCAGGCATAACACAAGACCCTATCTCAAAAATTGCCAGAGCAAGCCAGGCACTGATGGCTCACTGCCTGTAATCCTAGTTACTCAGGAGGCAGAGATAAGGAGGATCACGGATTGAAGCCAGCAAGGGGAAATTTGGGAGACTCTTATCTCGAAAAAACCCATCACAAAAAGGGCTGGTGGAGTAGCTCAAAAGTAGGCCCTGAGTTCAAATCCCAGTACTTAAAAAAAGTGGAGCAAAAAGAGCTGACAGAGTGGCTCAAGTGTTACAGCACCTGCCCTGTTCCAAGGCCTGGAGTTCAACCCTGGTACCAGCAAAAAATAAAAAAATAAAAGATGAATAAATGAATAAATAAAACAATCTACGGAAGGATGTGCGTAGGTTCTGTGCAAATATCATGCCACTTTATAGAAAGGACTTGAGCATCATGGGATGTGGGTGTCTCTGGGAGTCCCAGAACCAATCCTTTGATGAGGGTGGCCTTATTTTGGTGTGCACCTCTCTACCTTCTCTGAGCTTACTGGTTTCCTGGGGTTGAAGGGATGGGGCCCCATTTGTGTCCTGTCTGTTGCCACGCCATTTGCTCTGTGTGCTAGTGTGCAGGACGTATGCCTGTCTTTTTCTGTGTGTGCACTTGGCCTCTAAGTGGATCCCCCTACTTTGCTCATACATACCAGTCCCCCCATGCACGCCTCCCTGCCTCCTGCCGACTTCTCCCTCTAGGTTCTCTGCCTTTTCTTTGCACTTTGAGAAACACCAGCCATTCTCCATCCACTCACAGGCCCACATGGACATGGGGTCCAGGAAGGTGGTGGGCTGAGGCTCACATTCCTTTAGTATCCTGAAGCAGTGACCATGTGCCGTACAGATATGCTGCCTCCCAGGTTAAAGTCCAGCTCTGAAATCCATCTGTTGATAATATTACGTAAAACACCACTGAGTAAAAACACTTAGGCCAGGCTTGACCTGTGCTAAATGCATTGCGTTGCAGTCATAAAAGGGAAAAAGAAGCCAGGTATGGTGCTTCCTATCTATAATACCAGCTACCAGGGGAGGTGGAGGTAGGAAGATCTCAAGTTGGAGGTCAGCCTAGCAGAGTTAGAGCAAAGACCCTGTTTCAAGAACAAACTAAAAAGCCAGGTGCCAGTGGCTCACATCTGTAATCCTAGCTACTTGGGAGGCTGAGATTGAGAGGATCTTGGTTCAAAGCCAGCTATGCAAATACTTCTCAAGACCCCATTTTCAAACAACCAGAGTAAAATGGAATGGCAAGTCGCTCATACGGTAGAGTACCAATCTCACCAAAAAAAAGAGAGTAAAGTAAATAAATGCGTCATATTTTCCAGTCCAAGGGGTGAAGAGACAGAGAAGAGCAGCTACTTGATCTTCACTTAAACATGATGGAAACCATTCAAATCCAGGCTGTCTGGGCCGCCTGTCTGCCAGCGTCCCACAGTAATGAAATAATTAAAAACTAATAAAAGACAGGATTTATTAGCACTTACTGTAGAATGCACTGTTGCTCCTTTCCCCCCATTGATTAACTAATTCCTTTCATTCCAACCCCAGGAAACAAAGGTTATGGGTCTCCCATTTTACAGATGAAATCGAAGCACAGAGAAGTCAAGTGGCATAGCCTTGGGGTCACCTTGCTAGTAAGTGGCAGGTCTGGGGAAGCAGCCCCACCCAGATAGAGCTTTTCTGCGGATTTGCCACTCCTGGCTCAGCTCTCAAGAGCGTAGTGTCCCCTCCTTGAGCCTGTGGTCTGTGTCCCCACAGATACTGGCAGACAGGCCAGCAGCCCAGAAGTCACCCAGTGACCTACTGGATGCCAGCCTGGTATCGGCCACCTCTCGATACACTGAGGAGCAGCAAGCCACCCAGCAGGTGTGTGCGGGTGGCCCTAGGATGGGTCAGCCTGCCAACCACCCAGGGGTCTCTGCTCACACAGCGCCCACCTCCACTCTGCAGCTGATCATGGACCAACAGGACCAACAGCTGGAAATGGTGTCTGGAAGCATCCGGGTTCTGAAACACATGTCTGGCTGTGTCAGGGAGGAGCTGGACGAGCAGGGCGTGTAAGGCCAGGGAGTCCAGGGGGCAGGGCCCGACGACAACCCTGGTGGGCACGGCCCTTTGGAGGGAGCTGACGCCATCTCCTCTTGGCAGAATGCTAGACGCCTTTGCTCGTGAGATGGACCACACCCAATCCCGAATGGACAGGGTCCTTAGGAAGATGGTCAAAGTGTCACACATGACCAGCGGTGAGTCCTCTTTGGAGGAGGAATGGGGAAAGTGGTGGCCCCCGTGACTTCTGACCCTTTTGTCCCCAGACCGGCGACAGTGGTGTGCCATTGTGGTGCTTCTAGGAGTGGCTCTCCTGGTTCTTATTCTACTCTTCTCGCTCTGATGGGACCTCCCTAGTGCCCGCAGAGCCACCAAGTGCTGTCCACTGGCTCTGTCTCCTGGGAAAAGGGGTGGAGTCTGGAGAGCTGTCCCCAAAGCTCAGCTGACCCCCCAGGGCCCAGCCTCTGGTCCTGTCTCAAGTGTGCTGGTGGAGCAGACCGGTGAGGGTGGGGAGACCTTGGACACACTTAGCCCTGCTTCCACTTCTAGAGCCCCAAAGACATTCGCCCCATGGATTCTCCATGTGCCAACATGGAAATAAAACCTCAGCTTTTTTTCTATGTGTTCATGTCATGTAGCGTGTTGACTACAAACTTGTGACTAAGCTTCTCGTCCCCTGGCATGCTTCCTCTGTGGCCCAGGAATTCAACGGCCGATATTCAGTGCAAGAAAGATTAGTTTTTTTCTTGGCTGTAATAACCGGTAATACCTGGTTTCTTTGCGCTTTTTTTCTACTTTTTATGTTGCTGGGGGTAGAACTCAGGGCCTTGGTTATGCTAGCTAGGCAGATGCTCCACACTGATTTTTTTTTTTTCTTATTTTAAGACAGAGGCTTGCCAAATTGCTCAGGCTGGCCTCAAGCTTTTGATTCTCCTTCTTCAGCCTCCCAAGTAGCTGGGATTACAAGTCTGCACCACCATGTCCATCTTGCAGCATGGATTTTGATGTCAGAGTAGCACTGGAATCCATCCCCCAATACCCAGGGTCAACTGCGCTTAGAAGTCTGTCTTCTGGCACTGAACGCTGTGCTTCCAGGAGACACATTCAGTTTTCTCTTACTTGGGGTGGCCCACGTAATACAGAACACAAAATACTGTTACTTGTGAGCAGCCACCACTGGATTGTTTGGGTGGCAGTACTGGGGCTTGAATTCAGGATCTCACACTTGCTAGGCAAGCGCTCTACCACTTGAGCCACTCCACCGGCCTTTTTTGTGTTGGATATTTTTGAGATAGGGTCTCTAAAACTACCCAGGACTGGCTTTGTTCCACAATCCTCCTGATCTGTCTCCTGAGTAGCTAGGATTACGGGCATGAGCCACCACTGGATTTCTTGACAATAAGGCCGATTCTCAAACTCAAGAGGTCTGAGGCTGGTCTGTCCCTAAAGAATGGAGTGGGGAGGCTGAGGCAGGAGGATCTGGAATTCCAAGCCAGCCTGGACTACATAGCAAGCCTCTCTCAAATAAATGAAACCAAAACCAAAACCCACCTTGAGTGGCCTGGGAGCTTGAAGCAACTCTGCATCTTCCCGTGGTGTCCACATAGACAGGATGAGCATGTTGGGCTGGAAATGCTCTTCCTCTCTCAGGACATGGGCATCCCTAAGAGCCAGATACCCTTTTCCTTGGATGGTGGCTCGGGAGGTGCTGGGGTGGGACCCAGTGCCTTTTGCATACGAAGCACATGCTCTGCAAATAAAGCAGTAAGCAGCATTCTGCGCCCCTCTCCCAGAAATGTGAAAGGGTACCGGTTGAGTTTACTTGCCTGCTTGGGGTGGCTGGGGTGCAGCCCAGTGGTAGAGTGCTTGCCTAGTGTACAGGAGCCCTGGGTTTCATCCCCAGTGCTCAAACATCTTTCTTCCTGTCCCTTCTTCCACTACATGGAAGTGCTTGTTCTGAGTGGAATCAAGAGGCAGGTGCATGTGCGTGTGCAGGACGTTGGGAGTTGAGATCAAAACGGCCCAGGGTAACAGTCAGTTGGCCAGTCACACAGGGGGCTCACTGGAAGCACGGCCCCTGATTTTGAGGTGTCCCCAGTTGTGCTCTGCCCCAACGGACTGAGTGGCAGAAAGCATGCAAATGGAAGGCGCGCGTGGTCCCCCCCAGTGAGCAGCAGGCTGCTGGGCTGTTACAAAGGCGTTTAGTTTATTCTCATCAGTATCACTGAGACTCTCTGGTTCACATTTCCAACGCGGCTCCTCTCCTTACAGTAGTCAATGTGCAATCTCACTGGCGGCCGGCCGCGGAGGGGGAGGGGCTCGGCCAGGGCGTTGGCACTTCACACGGGCGGGTGGGCGGCCTGTCCCGGTGAGAGGCTAAGGTGGACAAGCGGGCGGCCAGCGAGGTGTCGGGAGGGCACTACACTTTTTGCTGCTAGGTGGATGGTTCTCCATTTCAGTCTCTCCTGGCTGCCCAGGGTGGGGGACCATGCAGCGCTGAGCAAGGGAGCAGGAAAAACGGCTGGCCGCTGGGAGGGGTAGGGGGGTGGCGGGGCGGGCGCAGGGGTGGCTCCTGGGGTAAGGCACAACCCTGTCTTTGGCTCTCCTAGCGAGGAGTTTCCTCCCCTGCACCCCTGGCCTGGCCCTTCCTCCCCCACCTCCTGGGGTCCTGGCTACCAGTGGGCTTTACCGCCCAACCTGGCGCAGCAGGGGCTCAGAGGAAGGGGATGGGGTGGGAGAGGACTCCAGTCCCCAGAGCTGCCCCTCGCTAAGGCCTGGAAGGAGGGGAGCCCCTGCTTCCCCTCGGCATCTGACTGTAGCCCCAGCCTGTCACTAGGCCCCAGCCAGGCCCAGCTGCTTGCCAAGTGACCAGGATATTGTGCTTTGGGATCAGCGCTGGGGTGGGGCGTGGGGGGTGTGGGCGGGAGTGCGATTAAGGTGCTTGTGCTTTAGCTGCGGTGTCGATCCCCCTACCTTCCTCTGGCCACCCGGGGCCAAGGTGCCAGGACCCCAGCCAGTCAGGACCCCCCTATCCCCTCGACAAGCAGATGTTAGGAGGGACTTCCAGCAGGGTAGGGGGTGCTACTGGGCCAGCCCCGCCCCACCGCCCCAGTCCCACGGGACCCCTGCCTCTGAAGGTGGGCAGCTGGGAGCTGGAGAGGGAGAGGCAGGACTACAAAGGAAATCATGAGATGGTGAAATGACACTCGGGGTGAAGTTAAAAGAAACAAAACAAAACAACCTCTGTGTTCATATGTGAAAACTCAAAAACCCCCACAAACACTGGCTCTGGGAGGGCTAGAATAAAGAGGAATGGTGAGAGAAAATTCCACAAACAATCGCAAACAATGGACTTGGGCCCTGTCCTGCCGGCCCCGCCCCCCCAGAGGACGACTCAACCAACCAGAGACCTGGGGCATCCTGGGAGCCCTCGAACTGCAGCCCCAGTGGAGAGAGGGAGCTGGGTGGACCCGCAAAGCCCAGGGGGCAGCTGGGCTGGGGCCAGCCACAGACACATGCACCCATGTTCTGTTCACACACACATTCAGCCCCCAGCCTTCCTTCCACAGCCCTCCCCCCATCGCCCCCCAGGGACTGAGGGGGACCTCAGACACAGTCCCGTTGGTTTGAAAAATAAAAGGAAATCTTATACTTCAATATTTCATTCGCTAAAAAAATGTTTTAAAAAGTTATGTACAGGGGGTGGGGGCTGGGAGCCCTGCAGCGGGGCGGGGCGTGAGCAGAAGGGCAGCAGCCCCCCAGCCTGCTCCCGGGTTCCAACCCTGGTCTTAACGCCTCTTCTATCTCCCTGTTTTCTAAAGCAAACCATCTCCACACGCACGCACACATGCTCACCACACGCTCTGCAGGCTCAGGAGACCAGTCCTTCCCGGGAGTGCCCCTCACTCAGCACCAGCCTCACGGGGCCCGCCTCAGGGGACCCACAAGGGACAACGAGGCTGGGAGGAGAGAGGGGCACCTCGGCTCACCGATGGGCCGCCTTGGGAAGGCCATGGGATTTCTCGAGCCTTCTCTGGGCCTGTTTTCTCAGCTGTCAAGTGGGCAGTCCCTCTTGGCCTCGCCTACCCAAGCCCCCAGACGCAGGGACAGACGAGGGGGGACAGGAAGGCGCTTTTGGAGACGTGGAAGCACTGGGGAGGGGTCCTGAGAACCCCCGCCCCTCTGAGTCCCAAGGGGCTGCACGAGGGGCGGGTCTGCGGAATGCTCCCCCAGGTGCCCAGGCCCCCCAGGCCAGCTCCTCCCCGAGGCGGGCCTGGAGAGTGGGAGGAGCCTCCTAAGGGCCAGGAAGGGGCCCAGAGCTACCCACCAGTGTGTGTTGAGGAGGGCGACTGCCCCCGGCACCACCTGCCCAACCTCCCCCAGCCCGGCCGGCTCGCATTGGGGGAAGGGTGGGACCGGAGAGAGGCGGAGGGGCTGGGAGCATGCAGCACCCCCTATGGGTCCTGGGTAGGGACAGACAGTAGCTCGTGACCTAGGTGCTGGGTGGGTGTGTGGTGGGAGGGGAGGGTCCGTGGGTTACTGGAGGACTTCTGCCGAGGGGCCGGCCTCGCCGTCATGGCTAGCCGTCTCGAAGCTGTGCTCCATGCCCATCATGTCTGGCTCGATCTTGCCCGTGTCACCAATGAAGCTGCTGTAGGTGTCACCCTCCGCCAGGTGCAGTGGCTTGGCCTTGGGCATCCAGCTCTTGCGCACCACGCGGCGGGCGTTGGTGCACATGTCCGCTGCGATGGCGTTCATCTCGCTCTCCTTGAAGTTGGGGGCGAAGTTCTGACAGTAGTCTGTGGGGGCACAGTAGAGCCACACTCAGGCCTAACTGCATCCTTGTCCCTCCTCCCCAAGGTTCCGTGAATCCCCACGGGAGACCGCTGACCACAAGCCACGTGGCCAGAATGAGCTCAGTCACATGTGTGGAACACACCTGGGGTTTGGCAGAATAGTCAGAGCTCCTGCAAACTTGCCAGAATTCAGAGTCTGGGAGGTCCATGTGCAAACCCAAGCTCTCCCCTCCCGCCCCCCATGGTCTGGTGGCTTCACAGCCCTCAGTTGGAAAGCCTCCTGTCTGGCACAGGCCCCCTGGCCTCCTTTCAGCACTGCCCCCAAATCACAAAGAAATCTCTATCCACAGCCCTCTTCCCCATAGGCCAGACTGCGCCTCAGCATCCTACCTAACCCCAAACCCACTCCACTGCAGGAAGGCCACGTGTCCAGCCAGGCCCCACTCACACTTGACGGCATGGAGGACGCGACTGTCCAGCGGCTTGCGTCTGGGGTCGTTAGTGGAAGAGCGGATGCCGGTGCCACAGCTGTTGGCCAGCGTGTTCCTAGGGGTGGAAATGGGGGCAGAGAGGGAGGTCAGCACCCCTAGTGGGGGGTGGGGGTGGCGTCCCACCCTCCTCCTGAGGAATCTGGGGAGGGCCTCACCGGTCAAAGAAGGAGGCCAGGAGCCGCCGCAGCAGAACCTTGTGCCGCGTGCCCGCGCTGACGTGGCAGTTCATGAGCTGAGCTCTAGTGATGTACACGTTGGTGCCTGTGACGGAAGCCGCAGGGTGGCCCAGGGCGCCCCAAACTGCAGAAACCCCACGCAGTCTGGGCCCCAACACCTTCTGGACCCCCTCTGTTTGGATCTGGGTCCCTCTAATTGCTCCCAGAGACCCCAGGAGCAATCAGGTGAGGGTCCTCAGGACTCACCCTGCCCCTTCCTCCGTGCTCAAGAAAGGACAGAAAGAAGAGCGGCTGACCACCTGTGCGTGTTAGGTGCTCCAACCACCCCTAGGTGCAGACGAGGAGGTGGGGGCTCAGAAAGGTCAAGTGGGAGCAGAGTCCCCGCTCCCAGGGGCAGTGGACGCAGAGCCTGGATATGCCAGGCAGGCTCTCTTGCACTACGCCACATCACGCCCTGCTCGGCGGGTGAGCAACAGCACACCTGTCACCAGCTCCAACTTCTCTGACGGGTCACCCTCGTCGTAGAGCTTCGGATGGCAGCGGTTGCCGATCTGGTTGATGAGCTCGGCGGGGAGAGATGCCAGGTCTTGCCGCACTCGGATGCGACTGCGGGATTCGGGGGCCACCTGCTCCGGGAGCGCCTCCACCTTCTCTGCTGCAGGAAGAGAGCAGTGTGCGTGTGCGTGCAAGCACGGCCCGGGACGCGGCAGGGCGCGCATGCGCGGGGCCTCACCTGTCTGGCCGACGTTCATCATGCTGTACATGGTGTACATGTTGCAGATCTGCCGGTACTGTTCATCCGTGCCCTCCTCGCCTGCGTCCTCCTCCTCGTCCTCCTCGTTGTGGTAGGACCCGGGGCTGTCGCTGGTGTAGGCGCTGGAGGTGCCCGGGCTGGTCCGCTCCGACGTGCTGGGCCCGCTCATCACGCCCCCTGCAGCCACGGCTGCCACTGCCGCCGCCGCCGCTCCCACAGGGGCCGGCTGGGGCGTCCGGTTGGTGGCCAGGTCCGGTGTGGAGAACTTGGCCATCTTGCGGCTGCCGTTGCTCCCGCCGCCCCCGGCCTCCTTCTGGCTGCTGTCCCACAGCCTCTTGGCCACAGGCGTGCACTGCACCGAGTCCGACTCCTGTTGCTCTGTCTTCACCCGCGACACGAGGGGCAGCGGCGTGCTGCAGGCTGGCCAGCCCGATGTCTGCGCCACCGGGCTCTGCGGCTCCGACGACGGGGCCTCCTCAGCATGCAGGCCCTGCGAGTCGCAGCTTGGGGAGCTGACTTTGAGGAAGAACTCGGTGCCCTTCTCCATGATCTCCTGGATCTGCAGGAAGCCGGCCGTGTAGATGAGCAGGAACTGGTCGCCCATGTTCATACTCAGTCGGCCGGTGTAGCAGAAGGTGAGGATCTGCTGGAAGGACTGCGGCTGCACGGCGGCCGGCAGCTCCACCACCGCACTGCGGCTGCTGTTGAACAGGTCCCGGAAGTACGAGCTGCTGGCAGCCAGCACTGCCCGGTGGGCCTTGAAGGCATGACCCTTGACCACCACAGACACGTCACAGTACAGGCCCTGCAGCCGCTGCTCATTGAGGCACTCGAGGATGCTGTTGCCAAAGTTGGGGATCTCCATCTGTAGCGTCTGTGCCATGGCGGCGGCTGCATGGGGGACAGGGAGACAAAGTGGGGGGGGGAAGGCAGGTGTCAGAAACTAGCACCAGCCGGGTTGTGACCATGGACCTCACTGGAGGAAGACCCTGGACGGCCATGTGGTGGGATCTGGGAATCCCACAGAGCCACCTGGTCCCTCTGTCTCCCAACACTTGCCTTTTGAGACAGAGCCGTAATACCTGTGGGGGACTGATTCCCACACATCCTTTAAGTACCAAAATCTATGGACGCTCATCCCTTTATGGAACAATGGAGTATTTGCATAGAACCTAGGCACACCCTCTTGTACACTTTTTTGTGGTGCTGGGGAGGAACCCACACCCCACACATGCAGGGAAAGCATGCCACTGAGCCACACCCCCAACTCCACTCATGCTTCAAACCATCTGAATTGATGTAGGTGCTATGTAAATATATTGAGATAATAATGACAAGAAAAACATCTGCACATGCTCAGTACAGATACAATTTTTTTCCTGAGTATTTCTGATCCTGAAAATATTTTTTTGAGGGAGGGGTTGCTGGAGCCCAGGGCTTGTGCCGGCCAGGCAAGTGCTCCACCACTGAGACATAGCACAAATGTTTTTGATCTGCTGGATAAATATGAGGTGCAGAGCCTGTGGGTACTGAGAACTGGCAGCAGCAAGTCAGCAAAGCCACCTCACAGCAGGATGGCCAACATGGTGGCCAGAGCTGCCCTTGCAGACAAGAGGGCACCAGCATACTTCAGCATGATCTTTCATCTGACTATGTGTGCAATGTCCAGCCTCAGCCTGCCCAGAACTGCTGACTGACCCCAAGCAGCACTAGGCACCACAGATACAGCACCCGGACCACATTGAGCTACTGCGTCACACTCCGTAGGCTGGCTAGCGTGAATAAGGCAGATAAAGGGTGAGGGTGTGTCTCAGTGGTAGAGTGTGAGCTTAGCAGGTGTGAGGCCATCCCCTGCTCCAAAAGAGACAGGCAGGAATTGTCAAAGAGGAGAAAGCAGAACTGGGGAGTGGCTCAAGTGTAGAGCACCTGCTCGCAAGCACAGGCCCTCAGTTCTAACCCCTCCAGAAAGGAGAAATGAGAAGCCCTGCACACTGTTGGCAGAAATGCAAAGTAGGGCAGCCACTGTGCAAAATGGTCCGGAAGTTCCTCAAGTGGCTAAGCACAAAGCTGCCATATGATCCACCAATCGCACTCCTAGGAATTATACCAAATGAACAAAAACGTTTATCCATACAGATCTGAATACACGTTCACAGCAGCACCACTCACAACAGCCAAAAGGTACAAACCCGGATGTCCACGAACCAACATTCGGATGTAGAAAAGGTGCCATCTCCACACAACAGAGTTTTACGGGGCCATTCAAAGGAAGAAATCCTAACACATGTCACAACATGGACAGCCCTGGGAAACACAGTGTGAAGGAGCCAGACAAAAGGACCATACAGCATGTTTCTTTTTATATGAAATGTCCAGAAAAGGCCAGAGACACAGCAGAGTAGTGCATGCCAGGGACTCGGGGAAGGGTGAGGGTTTGCTGAGAGCCAGGAGGGTTTATTCTTAACAGAATGAAAAACTGCCTCGAGTTAACCATGGTGCTAACTGCATGAGTGTCTTAAAAACCACTGAACAGTACACTTAAATGGAAGAGCTCCATAGTAGATCTCAAAGGCAGTAAAAACCAAAACAGGGCTGGGGTGCACCAGCTTGCAAGAGGTCCTGGGTTCCACAGGAAACTGTGGAATTGGTTTCCTCTGGGGAGACCTGGAATGAGGCTTGCAAAATATACTTTTCTGGTCCATCTCTTTTTTTTTTTTTAAATTTCAGTGTTAGGGATGGAATCCAAGGCTTTGAGCCCTGTGCATGCTAGGTAAGCAATCTACCACTGAGCTATACTCCCAATCCCACTCTTCCATTTTGAACCTGGTGAGTGTATTGCTCATCTGCAAAATTAAATGTTTTCTAAAATCATAAAACCAAAAGTCAGGTGTAGTGGTGCATGCCTGTAGTCTCAGCACCAGAGGGGAGCAAGGCAGGAGGATCTCAAGTTCAAGGCTAGCCTAACTACACAGTGAGACCCTGTCTCAAAAAAAAAAAAGGGGAAGGGAAAAGACAAAGAGCGGGCCTAGTGCCAGAGGCTCACACCTGTAATCCTAGCTACTCATTAGGAAGAGATCAGGAGAACTGAATTGAGGTTCAAATCCAGCCCAGCCAAATAGTTCACAACACCTTATCTAAAAAATACCCAAGACAAAAAAGGATTGGTGGAGTGGCTCCAGTGGTAGAGTGCCTGCCTTAGCAAACACAAGGCCCTGAACTCCAACCCCAGCACTGCCAAACAAAACAAAACAAAACAAAAACAAGCCAGAGTGTCAGAACAGCAGGCAGGAAACATCCAGGTGGGAATAAATGCCCAAGTTTGGGACATGGCAGCTGGCAGAGGGCCCAACCCTGCCATGCAGACTGTGGTCTAGGTGCACCAACTCCACTGGTGCCGGCACTGATGCACACACCCTTAGGTTACCCCAACAGCTCAACAGCTGCTGAAGTGGACACCAGGACTGGCTCACTTTACAGGCAGGGACCACAGTGCAGCCCCACCTCTCAAAAACTCTGGTTCCTGCACAAGGCACAGAACACAGGAGCACTCAGCAATGTGGGCTCTGAGGAGTGGGGAAACCCAGGCTCAGAACCCAGCACCCAGGGGTTTGGAGGCTTTGGGAGGTAACTCAGAAATAAAGAGGGTCACCAACAACCCAGCCAGTCAGCACACAAGAACCTGCCTTCCTTCCTGTGGGGGCTGCAGAGACCTGAATGCTCTCTCATCCAGTTCCCAGCACCAGGGTGAGGGTCCTGGAGTTAGATGAGGCTGTGGAGAACCTGGGAGAAGTTCCCATGAAAGCCAGCCCCATGGGGCTCTCAGGAGAAACGTGTCCATGTCACTTGCTGGGTGGGGCAGTGGTAGAATGGCCACTAAACAGGCCAATGTCCCCATCAAGCTTAAAAGCCACTAGTGAAGTCTGGTTCTGCTCCCTGCCCCCATGAAAGGTACTCTTCAGCCTGTCACCCAACTCCTTCTCCACGCCACCCATTTCGGGCTCTGTTGCTTAGGGTGGTGGCCTTTCACTGTAGCCAGGCCTGTGCCCATGCTGTGCCCCAGCTCTCTTCCACCCTTGGCTGGGGAAAGCGCAGTGGCAGAGCGCCTGCCTAGTATGCACAAGACCCTGGTTTCATCTTCAGCACTGTCAACAAACAAAAAACTGGACAGAGCAGCCCCCTACCAGAGAAGAAAGGCAGGAGTCCAGGGGAAGCCACCAGCCCCACACCAAACTGGAGGGGTCCTTCTTGCATGGCCAGTCCCTGCTGTGTGAGAGAACATCCCCCAACTTGACCCAAGGGCACAGCAAGGCACGCGGTTTCCATGACCGCCCAACAGTCACTCAACAAATATTTGCCAAGTGCCTGCCTGGGGCTGGGAGCACCTGGGATGGGGCACTGCTTCTGGGGCTCATGGTCCAGAAGGGAACAGAGCCCTCCATCCAGGAAGACATAGCTTGTAGCTTGTGCTACAAGCTCAGGTATCTGACCTTGCCCACAAGAGGTGACATTGGAGCTGATTATCTAAGGGTCAGCATCTGGAAAATGCTGTCACTTCTGAAGGCTCATCCTCAGCTCCATGGCTGTGCCGCAGAAGGGACTTTGTCCCCACCATACTCACATGGTAAAGCTCTAAACCCAGGAGGTGGGGTCTTTAGGGAACGAGAGGCAGCCACTTGCAAATCAGGAAGGGAGGCCCTCACTAGAGGGCCATGCTGGCACCCTGACCTCTAACTCCGCCCCTAGAACTGTCAAAATCCACATCCATGGTCCTAGTTAAGCCACCTAGCCCATAGCATTTTATCCTGGCAGCCAATGTAACACAGCTCTAACCACCATCTCTCCACTGAGGCGGCCCCCAGAGGCTCTGACAGGACCTCCTCATGGAGCCAGAGGCCTCTGCTCATCGCACGCACAACACAGCGGACGCCACAATTCTCGTGTGCCGAAGTCCGCAGTGCCAGCCGCCCCTGCTCAGGGCATGGCTCCTCGTGAGCCCGCCTCCTCAAAGACCGCTTCATGCTGCCTGAGCCCCATGTGGAACTGCTTGGTACCTCCAGTGCTGACCACTTAGAATGCTGTCCTGAGATGGCCATGGCTGCCCAGCCCTTCCCTGGCCACACACAAAGCCCTCCTAGCCCTGACCCTTTACGGTGCTTTCTGCCTGGTTTTCCTCACTGGTTCTTTCCTGAGCCGGGCAAACTGGGCCTCCACCTTTTCTTCCCACCAGCTTCACTGCGGAGTGTTCACTTGCTTGGTATCCCTTTCCCCTTGCTTCTGAGGACCAGTCTAGGCATACAGTGAGGGTTCAACAGCTGTTGGCTGGATGTGGTGGCATACACCTATAGTCCCAGCCAGTCCAGAGGGTGAAGTGGAAGGATAGCTTGAGCCCAGGAATTGGAGGTGCACCCTGAGCAACACAGCAGCACCTCTTATGAAGTTGTGAAGTGAACAAATAATTATTTCCATTACTTCCAACCTAACTGTGTAAAACAGGAACGTGGCTCGGGACTCAGAAGCATTAATGGCCTATCACGTGGGCGCCCTCTTCTGACAGCCCACCCTGGGCCCCTGGTGTGGCCTGCATTCAGGGTCCCACTCAAGGGTCAAGGCCACTGAATTGATTCCAAATGACTGCTCACACTGCTGTTAAATCACTGTCTGTGGTAAGGGCACCAGCAGGACAACTGGGACTAGAAACTGCTGGCTCGCTGGAAAGACAGTTCCAGAATTCTCCAGCCAGCAGGAAGGGCTGGCTAGGGCAATAGTTTTGAGCTTTAGTAGGGACTGACAAAGACATAGCCAGGCACGGTGGTGAACGCTTAAGTAATCCCAGCACTTAAGACTGAGGCAGAAGGATGGCAAGTTTGAGACCAGCGTGGGCTACACAGCAA